ATGGACACGAGTTACGGACGTTTCATTAACGTAATTGGCCACGTAAGCAGCGTAATGAGGGCAAACTGTTTAACACGATTTACGTGTTTCGCATTAGAATGAGGTTAATTTAGGAGTTAGTAGAAGCGGGAATTCTGTCCTGTGCAGAGATTGGCCGCAGAGAATTTCCGATAATGTTCTGACTACGCCCAGCGGTCGCCTCCTCCAGATTTCTGTTTGCTGAAGTAACTAACGTCTTGTCAGGGGAGTGATAAAGTAACAAAAACGTAGAACAAAAGTCATTAACTTTTTAATATTTCATGAGATTTAATGCCGTTCATCGTACTTGATGATAAATGCTTCTTTATGTTCGTCACTTATCAATAATGCGTAAACTCATGGAGGAAGCTTGATGAATAATATCGAAATGGCAGATTTATGTTCGAATATAAAGCAATGCAAAATTCGTTATGTATAATTTCACAGATGTTGCCAGGTTCTGAAAATAAATTTAATGTGAACAGCATATGGGTGGCAAAATTTAGATTAAAAGGTACTTTCGGATTATCGTAGCCATCTTGGCTCAGTTTGGCTATTTTCTGAAGAAGGAAAAGAATGGTGATTTCCAATCGGAGAAAGTTATTTATTTCATATTATACATGTTATTACGTACATTATAAGGTGTTTCTCTCGCCTTCTTAGCATGCCTTCGTAGTGTAGTGGTAAGCAAGCTTGTCGCGAATTCGAGAGGCCCGTGGTTCGACACCCGGCTCATTTTTGATCTCTCCTGCTTTCAAAAAAATATCTAATGTTTCTAAAATGACGCCCGAACTAAAAAGAGTTCCCCCCCCCATGATTGCTGATCCAAGGATGATGATTCTCCACCCCCAGGATTTGTCGAATGGGTCCCCTAACCCCCAGTCGCCCTTTAAAAGGTAATAAGGTATTTATCCCGCCTTCTTAGCATGCCTTCGTAGTGTAGTGGTCAGCATGCTCGGCGCGTATTCGAGGGGCCAGTGGTTCGTGTCTCGGCGAAGGCGCTGCTAATTTGTATCTCTCCTACTTTTAAGAAAATACCCAATGTCTCTCCAATATTATTTAGCAATTCGATATTTATATCGTAAAACTATTTAGAAAACGATATATCCCGCGTGTTTGTACCAGTCTACCACAGTCTTACCTATCACTTCTAATTCTCCCAAGCAAAATCTAACACTCATTAATTCTTTATTCCAGCAGTACATAAATCTCACTGCTGTAGTTAAGTAGCAGACGACTATTCTCGTACCAGTTACAGCTTCGAATGTCGACGTATTCGTTACATTCATTCTACAATACAACATCATCAAATGCGAATTCGAGATCCCGCCTATGTGGCAATAAATTATGTTTCTACAAAAATTTCACAGGCCTTTCTTCGTTTTCAAGCAGATCCCAAAAGCTCATATTTAAAAATTCTTGCCTTTAGAGCTTTTTTAATCGAATTGAAACAGCCTGTACGAAAATGGCGATATTTCTTATACAAACGTACAGTTATCGATATGATTAACTTAAGAATTGTTATGCTCCATACGCTACAGTTTGGCGACTTCAACCAAAGTGGTTGCGATAATACCAAAATTACTCATTAAAATTAACACGTGTGTAATCATATTTATTTTCCCTAATGGATAAAAGAATCCTTATTTTTACAAAGACCGAATTCGATTAAAAACTGCTGCTACCACCTGTCAGCCTGATCGGTATAGCGATTAAAGACTTGTATGGGTATGGATGGACTCAAGTTTGAATCCTGGAGAAGGCATGGCTGTTTGTAAGTGTATAGTGTCTGTGCAGCATGAGGGCACTTAACGAACTGGCCAGCCGAAAGTCCTCTCGATTAATTTGGCGGTAGGAGATGTTCGGACAGTTCCCTTCCCCGGGTGCTGAAAAGTAGATCGAAGTTGCACAGTCAGTGCGGTAGGTCTGTGTCTATACAGTTAATGGAAAATTTCTGGTGCTCCAATACACTTGTACACTTTGAACAACAAAAAAGGGGGTACAGTTCAATATCTCCCGTTCCACTGGGTCGATTGACGAAATTACGTTTTTCAAGTCTCGAAAGAGCGACTAGGATTTATATTAGACTTATATAAAGCATTTTTCTAACATAGGCTTTCTGACAGAAAATTTTTCTGAAATCACATACCTACTTTTTTCCATTCGTTACAACCAGATATTAATTTTATCGCAGTGTTACCTTTCGAATATACTATGCACATTAGCGCGTAATTTTATTGGAAATAGTTTCCGTAGCACGTTAAAACATAAGCTAAATTCGCTGAAAATATTTCATGTCATGTGACTACTTTACCAAAAGTGCCAGCAAAATTAAATTTTTTAAATATAATTAATTTAACATAACAAAATTGGCAGCCAAAACTTAATTTTTTAATAATCTGAAATCGAGAGGCGAGATGTGCTTTCGGGTAACGAAGCATAACACTCGAAACTCGCACAGGTCATGATAATTTACGCCAATCGAACACTTCTATTTGCCGCTCAATAGCGCTCTGTATTACCTCAATGTGTCATTTGGACATTACACGTTTCATTACAAAATCTGTTTATTTTAATCCCTTCTACCTGCATTTATGTTTTTGCTGGCTATTTTCCAAGGTGTCCGCCGAAAACACCGTGGACGAAAATGTCGCCCCCCAAAAAAAAACAACGCAAGGTCTTTTAAGTCTTAAACCGTTACGATGTAAAAAATGTTTTAACTTATTTACTTTTGAATCACATCACATGACCATATATGCCACAATTTACCAATCATTTACGTTAGAATTAAAATGACTATTTGAACTGAATTCAGTGCTTAAACTATTATTTGCGTCAAATCCATGAGAAATGTAAAATCTATGACATGTGAAATCATTTACGCAGTCTTAAGCAATTTCCCCCCCTCAAAGAAGTAATAAAAATTAACTAAAACAATAAATTTTAAAAAACAGTACTAGCGTACTGTTGAGGATAAGGAAATATTAGAGTTACGCCCTAAAACGAATTTTGATAACAAGAATTTGAGCAAAAAATGCATTGATAATGGGAAAATTGCGTTCAAGAAGCAGAGAATAAAGAATAGATTATTTTATTCATAAACCTGGAACACAAATAATTCATTCAAAAATTTAATTGACAAATTTATCTGATCTAATGTATGTGTAATATTATGATACATTATTATCTTCTAATTAATGATAAATCAATTCAAATAAACGGGATTTAATTTTGATTTTAATTAATCAAATTTTAATGATGTTATAGCTGATTCGTTAAATAAATTTGAGTAAGGCTTTATTCTGGGAAAAATAGTATGTATTTTTCTCCCAGATGTAGTTAATATGCTATTTTATTTTGGAAAAATGTTTTGCATGCTAGCCTTTTCTATATTATTTACATTTATTACTTTACAGTACAGTGATTTTAATATTACATGAATAAATTTTTAAAATATTGCAATACAAACTAATGGGATCATTGCCTATCCGGATATTCGATTATTATTATTATGGTAGACCAACTATATATTTATTGTAAATGAGTGAATGCTATTTATTGTAAATGAGATGAATGTTACAGATTATACAGTACATTACTTTACAGTACGGTGATTTTAAAATTATATGAATAAATTTTTAAAATATTGCAATCCAAAGTAATGGGATCATTGTCCTTCCGGATATTCGATTATTATTATTATGGTAGACCAACTATGTATTTATTGTAAATGAGTTAATGCTATTTATTGTAAATGATTGATTTATTGTAAATGAGTGAATGATATTTATTGTAAATGTTAGGTTAGTTTAGGTTATTTTAATTGCGGCAAAGCCTCGAGGGCTATCTGCCTAAGGGGAGGGATGCGTTTCGTGGAGGACTTTCTAAGGGAAACTGGTTCGTATACACGTTACACATGGGAAAAACCACGAAAACTCCCATGCAGCCAGCCCATTCGCGGCATTCGAACCTCGGACCGAACTACCAGTGTGCAGCGACTTTATCGCTCGGCCGCTGGTTGACCATATTCGCAAGCAAACACAAGTTACAGTAACCAGTTACATAAATGAAACGTAGAATCTTCACTTTTGTGCGACGTGCGATTAATGCAGTAACGCTAATGATGTGCAGCGAAGGATACCTCAACTATCAAATTAACATAAAGAGATCTTATGAAGGCAAAATAGTCATTTGTGCAGTCTTTTAAAAAAGTAGTCCAGTTAATATTCATGAAAATCTATAAAAGGTCCAAAAAATGTTCATAATAAAAATCTAGATGAAACTTTGTATAGTTTAACTCATTTAATGAGAAACTTTGTTTAAATGAGATGAATTTGAATTTGTAAATGAGATGAATTTGAATGAGATAATGTTACAGTTTATACAGTATATTACTTTCATTCATTTTTCAGTACATTTATTTTAATGTTATATGAATAAATTTTTAAAATATTGCAATCCAAACTAATGGGATCATTGTCCTTCCAGATATTCGATTATTATTATGGTAGACCAACTATATATTTATTGTGAATGAGTGAATGTTATTTATTGTAAATAATTGATTTATTGTAAATGAGTGAATGATATTTATTGTAAATGATTGATTTATTGTAAATGAGTGAATGATATTTATTGTAAATGAATGATTTATTGCAAATGAGATGAATGTTCCAGATTATACAGTATATTACTTTCATTCATTATTTTTCAGTACAGTTATTTTAATGTTATATGAAAAATTTTTTTAAATATTGCAATCCAAACTAATAGGATCATTTCCCCTCAGGATATTCGATTATTATTATTTTGGTAGACCAAATATATTTATATTAATGCAGGTGAGGAAGTTTTATATAAACGTCTTCTAATGTCGTAAAAGATGCAATGTAATATACTAAAACTTTTCTATAAATTCATTCAATTACGTTATCCAGACATTATTTTGTGTACATAACAGTTGTTGAAAGCTAATAACTGCATTAAAATTGTAAATATTTTTTATTATACAATGTTCATTTCTTTACAAAATAATGGTTAATGTTAGTCTTAAAAGTACAATATTGATTTGATGACAAATATTTAAAAATATACATAACTGCTTCCAAATTCAAGTGCATTATAACTATTGGGAAAAATAAGCATAAATTAAAATGTGGCAAAACTTAAAAGCATAACCCCGCTTAGCCAAAATTCTAGTTCGATCAAAATTGTAAACAAAAATCACATTGAATCAGTGAATTTCTACCAATCATGTGAAATTCTTTCAAATCGGTTTATTTTCGTTGTTTTATTCTTTAGAGATGAATGCTACAGATTATACAGTATTATTTCAGTATAATGCAATATAGTACAGATGATCATTATTAGGGTATAACGCAGATAATTAATCTTCACATCATATGCAAAAACAGGGAATTCTGTGCTAAATATAATTCAGAAGACGAGTTTAAGTATCTGCATTCTCCGATAGCTAGTTTCAAATAAAATTTACTTTTACCAGAGCTTTATTCGTTCCTGTCCTTTTCTAAATAATTTAGCAATATGTTTCTTTTTGGACAGTGTTTGTTTACATTTTCATAATAGTTTACGCAATAAGATGTATTTCTTTCGTTAATATAATATAACTTAATAGGGTGGTAAAGCAAAAAAGGTATTAAAAGCCTGAAAAACGTGGCCAAAATTCAGCGAAGTTCTAAAAATCATCTTACTTCAGAAAATTGCTTTATGTTATATTTTCAGGCTATGCTAATGATTTGTGTTACATGTACTATCTACTATGCTGATTAGGGAATAAATATATAATACAGCTTCAATTAATTACAACTTCAAACTTTACTTCAAAGAATAGACAACAAATTTTGGTGAAACATGCAAAGAATAATTTCGATAAAACAGTGGAATTATTTATATCAATCTGAATATTATGTTTTGCATAAATATACTAAAAGAATTAGTTGAAAAATCGATATAAATTGTGGGTTAAAAATAAGTAACTGCATTTAGCGATACGGCGCTGTTTTACAGCTTCCGGGAATTTCAAAATGCTGCTAATTTTCGTTAGACAGTTCGTTTAAAAAACGTATATTATAACGTTTTCTGGATTATCAATAAAACATTAACAGCAGCACTTAGCTGATAATGTTACTTTTTAACACATAAAATTAGTTCTAATTTTTAAAAAGCAATCTAAAATTCAAAATCAGCAGATCTTCCTTATAAATAATAACTGAAAGCTATTTATCTACCAGAAATAGCAACATAAAAGATTACAACAAATTCAAGGATCATCTTAATCCGAGGGATTTGTTTTCACATTCGTCTGTGGAAATTTGTAAGTGACCAAGAAGAAATGCTGACAGTATTCCAGAAGTGGGTTTATGGTTTAAGTGGAAGTCTTGTGATTATTTACGGTTATAACGAATTTTTTTTATTGTCTTCGACAAGTGTCTATTCTTCTAAAAACTCATACGTGTAATCTACAGTACTATTAATTTTCATTATAAAGTATTATTCCTTGACAGCTTCCAAATTATTTTAATAAAAGTGATAAGATTTATAAATAAATAAGTAAACATTTAATATAAAATTAGCAAAAGATTTTATCAATAACTCAATCGATTTCGAGGGCATACAACATACACGTCCCTTTTCATCAGGAGCATAGAAATCTGCAGGACTAGAAAACAGCAGGAGCAACGTCGTATATATATTCTACTGCAGTAAAGCGAACGAGAAGGTAGAGCCATCTGTCGAAAAAAATAGTAACGAAATTGAAAAATTCAGTTAATACAATTTTAAAAATGTTAGGAAGAACTGGTTAGACTTAAAACCATTAACTAAACAATATAAATCTTTGTGAATGTGAAGGAAAATACTATTCACGAATCGCAGAAGCTTTCTGAATAATTTTTGCAACCCACTGTTTTCGAGTCTTGCAGATTTCCTTACTCCTGATGAAGAGGGATCTGGACATGTTTGCCTTCGAAATCGATTGCGTCCTTAACATCAAACACAAGGTTTTTGCTTTGCTAATTTTATATTTCACTTGGCATGTTGTTTATTGGCGTGTTTCTTTTCTGTTTTAAACACTTAACACCCATTCTTTACCAAAAGCAATTATGTGGTTTAAACGAAAATAAGATGTTTAAAATGAAAATATTAAATTTAATTTAAACAAAATGGCTTCCAGAATAACATTATCGTAAAAACTGTTGTGTATAAAAATAAGACCTCTTTAACATGCATGTGGAAATGATCTTGATGTGGGATATAACAGTGCGGCGTGTAGTACCTGGCGCATTGCTATCAAGGGCTGCTGAATAGAAAGGGGAAAAAAAAAAGAATCTAACGTATTATTGGAAAAGTCAAACAACAAGAATCAGCGTGTATTTGTAAATTTTGCAAGACTAATTTTGATGGTCTAACTACAGAACCATTATCCTCAACTGCCGAAGTGCAAATGAAAGAGATAAGATAAGAATGGCTGTACAAGAGTAAAGCTACTGGCGCCATCTATTGATGAAACAAGAAAACTAAAACATAATTTCCTTAAAGGCTGAAGGTTATTATGGATTTGAATTAGGGTCATTAACCAGAACAGAAAGATATTTTTGAATATGAAATGCCTCTTCTAATTCAGCAATGGAAGATTTTTTTTTTTAATAATTTTGGTTGCCGAAAAGTGTGATTTTCGGACCAACAGTGCTGGGCAACAGAGAACTTCTGTGTTTACTTTTTCTTAACATATGCCTCACGTTCTTTAACGCGAAATGTTAAGGCTCTTTTAGTTTGACCAATGCAAATTAAACCACACGGCAAGGAATCCTGTAAACACCCCAGGAGTTCATATCCGGAATGGGGTCTTTAAGTATGGAAGTGGGAAATGTATTAATAACACATTAATTTGAATAATAAATGTATGTGAATAATAAATGCATATGTAAATATATTACAATGCATACTTTTGATGAACAGAGCTAAATTTATATTCTTTAACCTTTAATAACAATTAACTGTCATAAATAATTTCCATGTGATTGGCTCCCACCCCCTTTTGGTTTGGATAAACGGGGTTATAATGTAATGCTATAGTTTATTTAAGCGAATCATTGAAATAAAGTTCAGCAAACAAGAAAGCATGCATGGTGTATACGTTATAATATTTACATTAAAAATCAACAAGAAATCATTACAGTTATGTCACAGGAATCATTACAGTTATGTCACAGGAATCATTACAGTTATGTGCACAAATTTCCTATGCTGATTGATGCAGCTGAAAATTGTCATACGGATTTATTATACAAAGATAAATATTATATATGTATATATATATACAAAGAAGTTTTGATTTTACATACAAGCAGAAGTGAGAATAGTACAAGAAAAATATGAACAGTTAAAACAATATTTTTATGGTTTACAAATATAAGCATGTGATTACTATATTAGTCAAGATTGAAAGTGTATTCACGGAAATAGTACAAAAATTGTAGTTCGAACCAACAATGTAATTTAATATATTTCAAATTTTAGAAAATTGTAAAAGTATTCAATGAAAATGCATCAAGTTTCAGTTTGGATATTGTTTAGAAGAACATGGCTAATGATGATTAAGCGAATTTTACGGAATTTGAGAATATTTTCCAAAGATGTTAATGCAACGAGCATTTTCATTTAAAAAATGCGTGCATACCAACATCGTCATATTTGTCAATCGCCATCTATTTCCTTATTCGAAAACTGCATTAAAAGATTGCCATCAATGCCAAAGGACACCATTAACTAAATCATTTCTTTCTGAAATGACCGTTCACGTTAAGACGTAACTCCTTAACAGGCATAAACAAGCCAAACCGATTTTTCATCAAGACGAAATCATTCAAAAATAGTAATATATTTCAGAGAATTCCATAATCTCTGCGGCATTACTGGCTTGGCCTCTGTTAAACTGGTGAAAATGGAAAGTAATACCGTCAACGGTGTCTTCTTTCTTGCGGTTCCTCAAGTTTGGAATGACCACGTCTTCGGCTAGCATAGAATTCACATGCAATTCCAGCTCACATTCAATACCCTTCCTGACATAGTATGTCTTTCGAAGCCGCAGTCTGACGTCTTTGTCTCTAGCCAAACTGAAACTCACTGACATATCTTCCCTCTCGATTTTATCCTCTTGTATCTTGTACAAGAAACGGAGGGAACCGTCGAACTTCGGCTGCCTAACGGAAAAGTAATTCGTGTCCAGTCGGACTGGAAATCCTACGCCAACGAGGAAGATGTCATGGTTGGTGACAGTAAAACGAATACCACACACACGAATAGGTCGTACTGGAGAATGGAAGCCAGTCGGTTTGAACCGAGTGGCAATGAAAAAATCTGGCGGGACAGTCCTTTTTGTCATATCGGAAGTTAGTCCCTTGGGCATGGGAACGATTCCCGGAATTGCAAGGTTCATAAATATTGCGTAACATTCGTCCTTTGAAAGCAGTCCATTCTTTGCTGGCCCTTTACAGAATTCCTCTGCTGTCATGGCGAGAAAACGTACATGTGGCAGGACACTGTCTAGAACGATTCTTAAGTTTTCCATCTCAATTTCAACATTTCGACGCTTGCATTCCTCTTCTGCCCAGAGATGGACAGCAGAATATAAGGAAAACTCAGAATAAATGTTCAGGTAGGGTCTACTCACGATGGTTTCCAGCGTTGAAACAGAAATGGAGGGAAATGTGGAACACGTAAGGACATGGTGCGTTTGTCTGTCTATGATGTTGAGGCATTCGTAAATGAGATGGTGGGCTTCGAGTACAGTGGCGAACTCATACACTTGACAGACGTTCTTTGGGGACACGTGGGCTTCAATAAAGACAAAGCATTCTCTAAGAAGATGCGGCAAAAGGTACTTTTTGGCGGCATAGGCAGTCAACATGGCATCTTCCACAGTTGAAAGGTTTAGAGTATCTGTATAGGCATACCTAGGAAATAGAACAATTAATCAGAAGCGTTTGAGTTTTACATATTACAAATATAAATTAATTATCGACTAATCTTGGGATGAAAAACAGTAATTATGCATCTGAAAATAATAACATTCTTAAAACTAATTATATAACTTCCTAAGACAACTGCTTCTGAAAAAGACAATTTTTTTCTGAGAATATACGTAATAGGAACCTCGTGAACAGGAAAGGGAATATTCGCTTTAGTTCAAAAACAGATACGTAAAACTCAAGAAGGGTTAATTACCCTTTATTTCTTAAAAAAAAAAAAAAAAAAAAAAAAATTGACAGATGGTCCTTTTTCTCAGGACGTACAGCAAAGCCTCCACTTGGGCTTGAACTCAAAGTCATAATAAATAAAACTTAGCTAAAGCAAGATATAGCCGAAGCTATCCAGAATTTCTAAGTAGTTGGCCCCTAAATATCAACTAAGCTGGAGAAGCTATCAAGAGCCTGAGATATGACCGACTGTAGTAATAGTTTAGAGAGAGTGTAGCCAGGAAGCGAACGCGCGCTAGTAAGAAACTCTGGCTTTCTAACGAAGTCAGTGGAACTTCGACTTAAATACCGCTCTGACTCATCTGCATTAACTGCGATTCTAAAAATACATTCTGGTAGGAAATTGTAAGCTGAAATTAAGAGGGACAGGAAAGTAGCTTTAACTAAAGGTAACTGTTAAAAACTTAGGATAAACCTTACATTGTTATCCTGATGAAGTAGTAGTAAGCCGTAGAATAAATATTTGCAATAACCATGTCTTGCCTTAGAAATATTTTAAAGTATTGACAGATTTGAGTCATAGCGGCGATCCTGTAGAGCATCCCATTTCTGACACCAAAACCTGTTACGTGCGTATGGATTCATAGTGGATTGAATGGCCACAGAACCGCTGATAGCTAGATATTTTCCCAAAAGAAACATTTTATAGTTTTGGACAGTTTCACAAAAGTACTCTTACACTTCTTCTCAGTAGAGCACAAACAGGAGTTACCACTTCAAACTTCTAAGAAGATTAAACACAGGACAATATAAAAGCCTTAAATGTTTGGCGAATTGTGATAATTTATCACCAAATTTGGCGACAAAATTCGTTACCAAAACCACCGTCAGCTAGCCATTTATATGAAATAGATTTGCCATTGTAACCTTATTTTTCCGTCAAAGATTTGCAGTCTTGAAGCGTTTTATGGTTACATTATACAGGAGATACTACAATCTATATATAAACAGTAAAATTATGTACATATGTACAAAATTCGTAACACTATTATGTATGTGTTATATTTAATGAATTGCACAGATGTTGCTTTACGAAATTATTGGGTCAGTCCATGAATTCGTGCGCATTTTTTGGTAAATTTTTAAATAATATAAAAAAACACAATTTAAAATTTTAATCAATTATATATTTTCCTCCATTATCTACAATGTCTCGTCATCTTACAGGCAGCTATTTTATGCCTTTGATGTAGAAAGACTCAGGTTTTGATGCAAAAAAACGTGAAAGTTCATTGTGTACATCCTGTTTAGAATTTAATTTTTTTCCCAGTAAAACAATTTTTAAGGCACGAAATAAGTGAAAATCACTAGAGGCAATATCTGGGGAGTAAGCAGGATGTGGCAAAAGCTCGCAATTAAATTCACTACCTTTTGCGGCATTGTTCGAGCCGTATGCGGTCTAGCGTTATCCGGATGAAACAACACTTTCTTGATATTCACCCATCGTGGGCGTTTTTTGATCCATTCTGAGCTTAGACGGCAAAGTTGTTCACTATATACTTCCGAATGAATCGTTTGATTTGGTTCTAACAGTTCAAAACGTTCTGAACGGGGTTCATCACCAATGCTGCTTTTTCAAACTTTAAATTTTTTAAACCATTTCTGGGCAGTCCTTAAACTAATAGTGTGTTCACCGTGCACACTATTAATTTTTATCTCTGCAAACCTGGCAGATTCACCACACGAAAATAAAAAAAAAATGTAACTCGGCACGTTTGTACAGATTATCTATATTCATCTTCTATGGGTATTAAAATGCGTTCGATATTTACGAATGGTGATGAACTGAAAAATATGTTAGTCAAACGATGACAAGTTTCAACAGGCTAAAAATTGTATTGTTTTAGTAAATGCTACATAGTGAAATTCACGCATACTCTTAATGCGCTCGAACTTATGGACTGACCCGATATATACAACTTATATTTCAAAGCGATTATATGCGATCTGGGAATGGATTATTTCATTTCAAATTAATTCCTATAGGAAAATTGTTTCAGATGACGAACTGTATTTAGCAACGAAAGGTTTCACTGTATGTCATATTTATTTTATTCATTAAAAAAATCTGATGTGTACACCACATGACTTCCTTGTGCGGAATATTAAATTATACGCATTTTTTCTTGCATTTTATTTAGACTTATTAGATCGAATTAAACCTACTTCGCCGACAGCGCATAAACCACAATAGAATAAATGCATTCTTTAAAATTCACTTTGTTTACCATAGCGACACTCTGGCGCTAGGTTTACTTAACAATATTATATTTCGTTCATATTATAACTCAGAATGCACAAAATTTATATCATTTAAAGAATCATCTAATCGTTGCCACATGTTCTATTCAAATACTATAATAAAGCTAGAAGCTATGTATAAAAGAAATTAAGCAAACAAAACAAAAAAGAAACAGTTTTTCACAGACGATTGAGTATTTCTCATTCAATTAATTCAGTTTTCACTTCGCGACAAGGCAAAAATACATAAAAACTCAAAATATCTGTATTAAAAATTACGAAGTAAATCTTAAACGCTTATTTCCTCGAAAAAAATTTCCAGAAAGGATTAAGCATGATTTAATTGGCAATAATAAATGAAGGCGTTATCTTTGTTGTTGTGAAGCTAAGTTTCTCTAGATTGACAACAAATCCGCTACTCAGCTGTTTCAAATGTAAACAAGAGCAATAGCCGCCATCAAATAAGGCTTAGCGGCACTTAAACAATTTTAAAATTGTTGATAATTCTAAAAATATTGCGTACAGATTTACTAAAGGCATAAAACCCTTAACCGAAAGATAAAAACAACATAATTCAATCATTTTTAAAGCAAAAAATGTACAATTTACAAACATATAAGAGTAAGAGTAAAGAAACTGAGATCACTGAGCCGGGTAACAGAGTGGATATATTTATAAATATATTTATATACGTTTGGTGCGGCCGATTGCAACCAAAATACGAGGTGCACATCTACATGTTATAGTAAGTCCTATATACAAAATTTCAACGTTCTGAGGCTACTCGTTTTCGAGTTATGCGAGATACGTACGTACGTGCGTATGTTCGTACAGACGCCACGAAAAATTCTCTTCAGAATTCATTTTAAAGCAGTTTTTTAGTTTTTTTGGAGGAAAAGAGTCTTTTATTCTGTCCTTACGTACAGATATCACGCAAAAACATCCTTAAATTGCATTCGAAAGCGGTCAAAGTGGATATTTTAGTTGAAATATGCTACCTGAAGCTTTTTGCGATTACAATACTTCCTTTTCACTTCGTACAAGGAAGTAAAAAGTTACGGTGAAATTGATATTTCAAGAAAAACCAGTTGGCGATTTATTTCTACGACGCCCACGTTTGAGCATATTGTTAGGGATCTTCAAAATTGGGATTAATAGACAATTCAAACAGACATATTATCCGGCACACCAACATTTATAAAATTTTGTAATTATTAATTCCACATGGCAGACGTTCAATCTAATTAGAGAAAAACCCTTTTGAGTTGTTGTATTAGAAGCTAAAAGATGAGATTGTAAGATCTTTTGAATTTGTATTGCCTCAGCTATAAACATGATAGTTCTACGTTATGCGTTAATTTGAATAATTGTTATACAAATCTGAGCCTGTCATCAAAATGCTTTGCAACTTTTATACTAATTTAAATTTTGAAAGAATTCTATTAGTTGTAAATCAAAACAAAAGCGCAGAAAATCAACCATGGGGAATTCTTAAAAGTCTGGTACTATCGATTCGCTACGACCCAAATCCACCTTTTCAGGTGGGCAAAACAATGGTTGCCAAAAAACCAATAATACTTAAATATTAAAAAATTGTGACGTAATGCGGAAATGGCCCACACTCGAGAGGGACGCACATCACTGCACTTGGCCCAAATACAAGCATATGGAGATTTCGATTCCAAAATATTTCCTAATATGAAATGATTCAGCTTATTTTTATCCGAGAATGATGGTGATCTATTTTAAATGAGATCTGATGAAATCGCTTTTTTTCGTTTGGGTTTTAAATATCGCAATGAAATTTTAATCGAAAACACGAATAAAATTTGCATCAAATCCTTTTGAATACACATTGTTTTGTTTTCTATTTAGTTATTCTTTCATTCTTAAAGTTTTGTTAGAAAAGAAATTATTGTGGGAAAATATGTTAAATTTCACGTGAAAATATTGTCTTTTTCCGTAAGCTACTCTCAGAAGAAATTTTATTAAGTTAGTAATTTTGAAACACTTGAATTTCTTAATTAGAATTTTGTAATTAGAATTAGATTAGATAATTACACAAGAGTTGCAATAATAAAAATAATATAGATATATGCATATATTTATATAATTACATTGTAAAGACATTAGGTATTTTTTGGAAGCAAGATAGATAAAGTTCTTGCAGGAAATTGATGTTGACAGGGCATGCATTTTCCCTCCCAGAGTTCCTGGTTTTAGTTGAGAAATTTTCCTATAGATCGCGCTGCAAGTCTCTCCTTCTGCTTGCTAGGTTTTAATTCATGCAAATCATCAAAATACGCATTCCTAGAAGGGATTGATATTTTGACTTAAAAGGAGTGTTATCTATGATTAGACGAACAGTAGAGAACTGAAAAGTGGATTCTGTCAGAAAGTGTTGAAAATGACGTTTTCTTTAAAAGAAAAGATTTTTTTTTATATAGAATATTCCA